CAGGACAAGTCGGGGAGCTGGAGGCTGCGGGGACAGCTGGCCTTATTGGGTACCAGTGGGCATTTACTCTTTCAGCACAGGTTTCCTCTTGGCTTCCAACAGAAGCCTGCATTGAACCCAAATCATATTTTGTTCTTGAGGCCATGGGTCAAGCTTGTTTCACACGCTCCCTCTGGAGTGATTCCCGCTGAACACCACTCCCAGCCGTGAGCAGAAGCTGAGGTCCCAGCCAGCCGTCTTCTCAGCGTAGTCAGCATCAAAGCGCTCATTCTGGGCCACAGTGAAGGTGGTTTTCCAGTCCCCAGCCTTGCCTTGTAGGGGAAGGAGGGGGCTGAAGTCCTGCAGAGGGGGCCCCTGGCTCAGGGCGGGCTCTGGCTGCTGCTCCCTCCCTCCCTCAACACCCATCCCGGCTGGGCACCCACCTCTCCTCATGAAGGGGGAAACGTCATGGTCCATGATGTCTTCGGGGACAGTGGTATAGTTAGTCATGGGGTTCTTCTTCATCTCCTCAAAAGATGTGTGCTGGGCAATGTGGTCCACGATCTCCTCTGGTAGGGAGCGCCCCACAAACTCCAGGATCTTCCAAATCTCCCTTTTGGGATTCTAGAGCAGCACAGGGCTCTTCAGTGAGGTTTGGACTGCTCACTGAGCAAACAAAAGGGGATCCCCCTCTCCAGCCTAAGAAGGGACCTGGCCACTACCACTAGAAACTCAGAGCCAGCTCCTTATCTCACTCATCCTCTCACCTGCCCTGTGATCCTGTAATAAGCTGTGTTTGGTTCCTCATGGGTGAGGACAAGGACGGTGTTCTTTCATAACTGGTCCCAGGGTAAACCCTTGGCAAACCCTTTGGCAGGGAGAATAGAGGGCAGTGAACTGCTGATCAGTGACTGCACATGGGGCTGACTCAGGTACTAGAGATAAGAGCTGTACAGAGTACCTGGCACTGCGGCTGAGGGAAGGCAGGATGCAGAGCCAGGATGGGTTGGGCACTGCCCTAGGGAGGGGGCCTGAGAGGGCTTTGGCAGGCCTCTGTGAGGATCCTGCCCCCCAAGTGCGACATGGAGGGAAGCAGGAACAGGTGGTGTCACCTCCTTTATGTCTTCGTAGAAGAGGTAGAGGACAGGATGGGTGCGACTCAGCTCCCACCACTCGTGCACGTGCTGGTACCAGGACCCATAGGACACTACGGAAGAGGCAGGGCACCAACATGGGGGTTGGAGTTAGTTTTAGCTGCTGCTCCTCAGCTCTGCCCCCCTCCTTCCTCGAGTAGGGCCCACCTTTCCCGGCCATGAACTTCTCCAGGAAGCTGTCCCAGGTACCAGGATCAGGGTGCACCTTGGCCATGCAGTGGAAGTGGTAATAGGAGACAGCCACATCCTTTGCATTGCGGGCAACATAGACCACCTGCAGGGGCAGATCACCTCAACCCCAGCACCATCACCACACAGCACGCCCCACACCAGTCCTGGGCCCCCCGTCCTGCCCTCCTGTCACCCTGGACAGCATCCCTGTGAGGGAGGTTATCTCTGGTAAAGGAGGAAACTGAGGCTTAGAGGCTGACTTGAGATCTCTCAGTATAGGTATTACTGGGCTGGGATTTGAGCCTTGCTTTGATGCCAAAGTCCTAGCTGGTCTCTGGAGCCATATTTTACATTAATCTCTACTGATGCCCTCACACCCAGATTTGGAGCAAGACATGCTGGGCTCCCACCAGCCCCCTCTCCTGAGAGCCTGTGATCACCTGGGCTCTGCCTTTCTCGGGTCTGCATTGAACAGCCTCACTTTCCTGGTTGTCTGACCACCACCAGATCAAGAGGCAGAGAGTCTCCCCCTCAAGATGAGAAAAGGCTCGAGGAAGGAAGGAGACCTTCCCAGAAGGACTAAAGCTGGATGTCCCCAGAAGTCTCCCCTTTGCTTCCCCTGCCACTTACTTTGATCTTCTGATCCAGCAGAGACTGGGGCAGGAGGGCCAGTGGCAAATGCGTCTTGAGGAGCCGTGGGGCTGGTGTTTCTTTCAGAGTCTCGAAACCTAAGCCATGGGTAGGGAAAGGTTTGGTGAGCTGGAGCCCAGGCCTCACTCCCTGCACTCCACTTGCCCCCAGCACCCCCCCACACACCTGAGGGAAGCCCTGGGACTTTGAACTCAAGGAAGGGCACACGGATGAAGATGGGGGCCCGGTGACACTTCTCTAGGTCACCACCTTGGTAGATCATGTCCAGTATCTGGCTCACCCAAGTGGTGCCTAGAGAGAGAGGGAGATGGGAACTGGAGGTGAGCAGGGCTGAGGGTGTGCCCCTGCAGGCCAGGGTGGGGACAGCAGCCCAGGAGAGGGTGGGTGGCCATCTTCACCTACCGGACTTGGGGTAGGTGCTAATCAGCAGGTCATCGGGCTGGGGCTGGAAGCTCTGCAGCGGCCCCAGCGCTTCTGCAAAGAACTTGACGAGCGGGACCCCCTTCACGTACTCCTCTGGGTAGCGGTAAGTGTCCTGGACTAGCTCCATGCTGCTGTGTCAGAGACCAGACCCCTTACTACCATCACGACAATACCATTTGCTGAAGTCTTGCTTTAAGATGAGGACACTGAGGTTTGAGAATGCTGAGCAACTTGCCCAAGCTCACAAATCCAGTGAGTGGTGGAGCTGGGGACTCAAAACTCCAGTGCAGTGCTTCCCATTCTGGCTGCGCCTTTGATGTACCTGCAGAGCTTTCACAATCCCAATGCCCAGGTTTCATCCCAGACCAATTAAAGCAGCGGTCCCCAAACTTTTTGGCACCAGGGACCGGTTGCATGGAAGACAATTTTTCCACGGATGGGGGTGGGGTGTGGAAGCAGAGCTCAGGTGGTGATGCACCACCCTGTTTTCCTAACAGGCCACAGACCGTGGCCCAGGGGTTGAGGACTGCAGGGTTAAAGCACTCTCTGGGGTGAAGCCCAGATATCAGCGTTTTTGAAGCTCTCCAGGAGATTCCAGCCTGCACTTGCAAAACTCTAGGGCCTGCCCATCCTAACTCCCTGCCAGCCAGCTTTATTTTCTCTCCCTACTTCCTGCTGCAGAGCCAGCCTCCATCCAGTGGGCGCCTCTGTGGCCCCAGCCCCCACCCGTTCCCCTCCTTGAGCTCTGCAGGCTGCTCACATGCAGAAACCCCCAGGCTGACCAGACCTGTCATTCCACTTGCCTAGCCACACTCTATCTTGGCTTGGGGACAAACATGGCCAGTTGAGCAACTGAGCTTGTTTTGGGGGCCAGAGTCTGGTATGTGAAAGAGCAAAATTCTGATGACTCGGCAGAAGGAAGGGAGGGGGATCCAGGCCAGGGAAGAGCTGCGCTGAAATGGGGATATCCATGGGGAACAAGCAGGGATGGGAGAGGCCGGAGCAGAGGGACCAGCCACAGGAGCTGAGCAGGGTGAGGGGGATCTGGCCCAGCCCACTGCCACTCTGGCACTCACCTGACCTCTCAGGAACCTGGCCTGTGCCCACCTCGGCGTACTGTGGCTCAGTGTGCGTGCAGTGTGGTCAGCACACAGCTGCTCTCTGAGCTGAAGATTTTGTAATTCTAAAGTGGGAGGGATCTAGAGCCAGCGCTGGGACTTGGCAGTCCTCCCAGAAGGAAAGGGTGGAGTTTGGGGTGGGGGAGCCTCTTTATTACCCTCCTTAGCACCCCAGCTGGAGCCACACTTAGAATGACCTAAATAGGCTGAGTGTGGTGACTCACGCCTGCAATCCTAGCACTCTGGGAGGCCGAGGCGGGAGGATTGCTTGAGCTCAGGAGTTCGAGACCAGCCTGAACAAGAGCGAGACCCCGTCTCTACTAAAAATAGAAAGAAAGTAGCTGGACAACTAAAAATAGAAAAAATTAGCTGGACATGGTGGCGCATGCCTGTACTCCCAGCTACTTGGGAGGCTGAGGCAGGAGGATCGCTTGAGCCCAGGACTTTGAGGTTGCTGTGAGCTAGGCTGACGCCACGGCACTCTAGCCCGGGCAACAGAGTGAGACTCTGTCTCAAAAAAAAAAAAAAAAAAAAAGAATGACCTAAAACGTCAAGATGTGAATTTAGTGTGTAGAAAACAAAAGAAAGACTAAAAGGAGAAAGGGCCCCGATAGTGGTTTGGTTTGTTTTTTGAGCTGTAATCTGCCTCTTGACCTGCCCCTCTGAACTGCCCCTGCAAGGTCAGGTGGCTTTTTCTGATTGACTCTGTGAAGGAGGGGGAGAGGGCTGAAGGGGAAAGATGGACATGCACTAGGCAGGCATGGGGCAGGCCACTCACCTGCCCACTCGCTCCAGGCCAGCCTTGAAGGTGCCAAGAGTTCTGGCCCAGGGCCCAGCGGCCCAGGCATTCCAGGCTCTGACCACAGGCAAGTCCAGAGTGATGTGGGTGGGCAGGGTGAAGAAGTTGGGGGTGGAGCAGACCAAGAAGTTTCCTCTTGAGGCAACACAGGATAAGTAGCATGAGGATGCTGGAGCCTAATGACTCTGGGAGTGAGCCCCAGCTTCACGCTCCCGGAGAACCTCACAGAACATCACTCGTGGCTGGCAGAAGAATGACAGCCCCCAGAAGGTGCTTTTCTTCCCCTGGGTTTGAAGGCAGCTCCACAGACAGAGACAAGAAGAGGCTGGGGCTCGGAAGCCACAGGCCCTCAAGGGAAGAGAGCACTGGACCTTCCTCCTCAGGCTTTGTCCTCACAATGTGGATTAAAGTCCAAAGTCAAGCCAGGCGCTGGAGGCAGGTAACAGTCTGAGTAAGGGTGTGAGTCTCCGAAGCCTTCAAAGACCTATGTGACCTCAGAGGCCAGCTGGGAAAGCTGAGGCAGTGGGGCCTCCAGGCAGAGGAGGGGCTGGTCACATTCTTGGGCCAGTGGTGGCCCCTCCTCCTTCCTCTGTTCCTCTCACCCAAGCCCCGGTGACCAGCAGGGGCCCTGCCAACTTGCTCCATCCTGTGCCCTCCCCCGCCCCACAACAAACACCAGAAGGTACCCTTAACTTAGACTTTTTATTGAACTCAAGTAAAACCTGGCAAGACCCATGGGGGTGGGGGTGGGGGAGTGGTGTGTAGCACCGAAAAGGAGTGGGAGGAGGGTTAGGGACACTGAGGATCAGTCTCCAGCATGTCTGTCCAGTGTTCCTGTGGAGGCAAAAGGGATTGGTCCAAGGCAGCCCAGGGGATGGAGGAGGGAAGGGAGGCTGGGGCCAAAGCCATCTCTCACCTCTTCTGATTCCGACTCTTCTTCCTCCTCAGTGCCCTTCCGGCACAGCCAGATCAAGTCTCCCCAAAGCACTGAGTTCTCACAGCTACCAAGGCGTTGTGTGAGAAAACAGAGTCAGGCACCAGAAGCCCCCTCCAGGCTAGGCCCTGGGTGCCTGGATGAGGACTCGGCTGCCTGGGCCTGGACTGGGCAACTGGGCACCCTCTTCCCAGAGCTAGACCAGGCAGGAGCAGGCGTAGTGAACTCACCTAGGGCATTGGCCCTCTAGGGGCAAAAGCTGCCCTGGTTCTTCCCGAAGGAACTCCTCTGCCAGGCAGATCACATGGGCCCTTAGGGGGCAGCCAGGGTGGGGGCAACACAAGGGATGCTCTTCATCCTGTCAGAGGTGGCAGGCAGGTAAGAGGACACAAGGAGGAATGATGCATTTCTTCATAAAGCATTACTATGGACCGGACACTGTTCTGGGGCCATTACATCTGTGGTCCCCAACACCCAAGCTGCAGCCCAGTACTGGTCCATGGTCTATTAGGAAACAGGCTGCTCATCACCCCCTGAGCTCCGCACCACGTCCTCCCGACCCCCGGTCCATGGAAAAACTGTCTTCCTTGAAACTGGTCCCTGGTGCCAAAAAGGTTGGGGACCACTGCATTACATAAAACAACCCTATGAGGCACATATTACTATTTTTCACATCTTACAGATGAAGAAACTGAGGTACAGAGAGGGTAAAATACTTGCCCCCAGGAACTAAGCTGTCCAACTTCCTCTGAGCATTAGCAGTGATTATGTGACAGCCTGGCCACTGCAGCCACACCTGCAGTTCCTTACAGGCCAAGTAGCCGCAGGCAGTTCACATCTCCCAATGGCAAGTACTCAACTATTTACATTCACTGAGAGCTCAGATAAGCCAGGCCCATCATCTATTAATTCGTTAAATATCTGCAGTAGTGAACAAGAGCTGCCCTAGTGGAGTTTAGTAAGGGGGTGAGGAGAGACTAATAAGATAATAAAATATATAGCATGTCGGACAATAGTAAGTGTTAAGAAAAAAAAAAGGGGCAGGACAGTGCACAAGAAAGGTGCAATTTTAAATAGCGAGTCAGGGAAGATCTCACTGAAAAGGTGACATGTGATCAAGACAGAAGGTCTAGGGAAGTCCCTTCCAGGCAGAGGGAAAGTGCAAAGGCACTGATGTGTTCGTGAATGGCCACAAGTACTATCATCCCCATTTTAGAGATGCGGCAGGGTGACCAAAGTGTGTCTGTGGTCCCTCAACAAACAACTTGATCCTAAGTTGTCTGGACCCTAGACCCGCCCCTACGTTGGGAGGATCTCACCTGGAGCAAGTGAGCGCACAGGGTGCAGCAGGCCTCAGCGGTGCCCGGGTCCAGCTCAGGCTCGGTGTCAGCACAGGGACTGGTGTGGCACCTCGGGACAGAGCCCCGGGGCGGCGGAGGCCCGAAGGCCAGCGGCACGTGTGGCGGCGGCGGCAGGCAGAGATCCTGGCGGAAGTCGGGGCGCAGCCATCGCAGTGTCAGCGGGAGGCGCGCCCAGGGAGGCACACGCAGCATGTGCGCCAGCACGCGCAGGTGGAAAGCGAAGGCCGCCTCGCCGCGCAGGCGCCGACCCACGTGCGCCAGGCGGCGGGAGGCTTGTGGGTGCTGCCAGGCCCACTCGAACTGCAGACGGGGTACAAGAGCGTCAGGGCAGGTCGGGGCAGAGGGCGGCCTGGGGCAGGCCCCAAGCCCCGCGGCCGGGTCTCCTTTCTTACCCGAAGGGCGGCCACAGCGGACGGGAAGCCGTGCACGATCAGCACCATCTCCCTGGTTAGGGGGGAGCGGAGAACGAGGGTGCGGCCCGTGAGCCCCCAACACCGTCATGCTGAATCCCCTGGCCACAGTTCGGAGTCCTCACACCCGGCTTCAAGCCTAGCCGCGAGGCCCCACCCCCTCCGGGGAGGTACGTCCCGCGCACCTGCCAACCTCAGGCCTCGCTCCAGTCCCAGGTACTTGACGGTGTTCAGTTCTTCTCCTTTCTAGGCTCTATTCCAACCCCAGCCTTGCTCACCAAGCCCCCGTCGCCGGACCCCAGCCTGGATCATCAGACCCCTCCCTAGTCAGCCCCCTCCCCCGCCCTGAGTCCCACAGCCGAGGGCCACAGGGCACCGCCTCCCTGTCGCGCTCCTCCCCTGTGATAGGCCCGCCCTTGTCACTAACCCCCCACCCCCACCCCCCGTTCCAGCCCCATCAGACCCCACACCAGCCCTGCTCTCTATCACTGGCCTGACTCGCCCCTCTCCTCAGGCTTCTCCCCCGCGGGGCCCGCCTTCTCCATGAAGCCTTCCTTCTTGACACAGAGACCCGCTCCCTCTTACCAGGGCCCTCGCCCGCTGGTCCGCCAGGCCCCGCCTTTTTTGCGGCCCCCATTGTGCTGCTGGACCCGTCGAGCCGGGTTGACGGTAAACCCCACGTAGACGCGGCCCCGGTGCCGAGGGTTCAGGCAGTAGAGCAAGTAGACGCCGTAGAATCGCCCCGGCCTCACCGCGCCCCCCGCGGGGCCCATCGGGGCTTGTGGGTAAGGGGCCGCCGCCGGGGCTTGACTGCTGTGACCTAGGACCCCAGGAAAGGCGGGGCTTCTAGGGCTGTAAGATGCTTGTTTCGGAAAAAGTGCTTGGGGACAATCCCGAAGAACCGTAGACGCCACAGCAGTGCGGCCTCGAGCCCCCTTTCTTGACTGGAGAGAGGTTTGGAAACCCGCCCACAGAACCCATGCTGCTACGCCAGCCTCGAGGGCCAGCCAATGAGCGTCGGCTCCAGCAGGGTCCGTCCTTACGCGCACTCTGATTGGCTAACTCATGGCAAGCGTGGAAACTCTTGACTATTGAAAAGCTCGGCTTGCTTGAGGGCGGAGTACCGCGTTTACCTACGCCTTAGTAAGGGCGGAAGTAGATGCCCTAGCGGAAGTGGCTTCTGTAAGGGCGGAAAGCAGAGTGGCCCGGTTACGAGCTGGGGTTCTATCCCCGCTGGGCTGCCGCCCCAGCTGGACGGCGGGTATGGAACTCAGCGCCGAATACCTTCGGGAGAAGCTGCAGCGGGACCTGGAGGCGGAGCACGTGGTGAGTTGAGCCGCCCCAACGGGAGAAAAGTGTTCGTGGGGGACGCGCGCGGCTTCATTCATATTATTCTGCCGGGTAGGAGGTGGAGGACACGACCCCCAACCGTTGCGCGTCCAGCTTCCGAGTCCTGGTGGTGTCCGCCAAGTTTGAGGGGAAGCCGCTGCTTCAGAGACACCGGTGAGGCCCCGGGAACACTCCGCACAGCACAGTCAGAACTCGGACCACAACTCTGGCGGCTCCCCTTTCTCCTGCAACCTAATTCCCTTACCCCCTACAACGTGGCCCCATGACCTCAAGTATCCCGCCTTCGTGTCCCTTGCTTCGAGTATTTCGATTTAAATCCTACCCTTAACTGATCCCACGTCCTGGGGACTACAAACCTTGGGGACACCTACAGTCTCCTGAGTCACCCTAGCTTCGAGGGCCTAGGTCCCATCCTCCGACTCCTAACCCCATCTCTCCCCCTAGGCTGGTGAACACGTGCCTAGTGGAAGAGCTCCCGCACATCCATGCTTTTGAGCAGAAAACTCTGACCCCAGAGCAATGGGCCCGTGAGCAGCAGAAATGAGGGACCAGGACCTGCACAGCCATTAAATTATAAATCAGGACCAGCGTCTGTGTTGGTGTGTTGTATGTGGGAGGGCGTTGAGACTGACTTTAGGACCTGGCCTCTCCCTGCCCTCCATTGTTTTACGCTGGACAAGGCCCTCTCCCATCTGGGCCTCTGTATCCCTGCTTGTGAAATGAAAGTTTTATTGTTACAGTTCCCTCCAGGGTCCTCCTCCCAAGCCTTCTCCGTGTAACTCTCTGTAGACCCCTAGGGGCCCGTACTGCCACTACCCACCCAACCCCAGAGAACTGGGGGTTCCTGCTTTCTACCAGCCTTCAAGATGCAGAGATGAGAAAGTGCTCAGGGTTTCAGAGCCCTGGAAAGTTGAACAAGCCTCTCCCTCTCCCCAGCACCCTCCTAATATCAAAGGCGTGTTACAGGATTCCACACATTCTCTGCAGGTTCCCCCAGCCCTTCGCAGGCCTCAGGGGAAGTGATACCCAAGTAGGAGCTCCTCAACACCTGGAATCTGATGTTTTCTGGCCCACTGGAAAAGGTCCAGTGGCCTCATAGCTCTGGGCTTGATGTGGCCATAGCTGACCCTGGGAAGACCATGAGGTTTTCAGGAATTGGGGCTGTGGAGAGGGGATAGGGATGGGATTAGAGCAGAAAAAGAAGGCTGACCTGAGTCACAAAATTGGGGTAGGTGATGCTCCTGTGTCAGTCTCAACCACAGGTTGTTAGGGTTGGTAGGACCTTGCACAGAGGTCACTGAAACCCAGGAGGGACAGCAAGCGACCCAGTTGGGGCCAGGGCTCTTTGGAAGTGAGAAATTGCAAGTTTCACCCATCACCCACTCTGTTCCCTTGTGTTTTCAAGACCAATTTCTCAGTCCCTAAATTACGTCCGACCCACCCCTACCTCCCTTTCTTGTTCCCACCAGAGAGAGAATGGGCCAGTAAAGCTGAGAGTCATGGTCATGACTAGTTAACCCTTCTGGGCTCCAGGGATCATTTCCTGAACTTTTTTTAGTTCCCTTGGGCCAGGAGGAGAACTAGTGACTGAGTCTACTTATGCAGACCCCGGAAGGGCCCATCGTCCCCACTGTGCGGGAGAGGCTCAGAGCAGGATCATCGCCTCTTTAAGAAGCCCAGACCACACCCCTGATTGGATCCACCTACCACATTCATCGAGCTATGACGAATCCCTCTCCCGTTTTATAGATGGCAGCTGAGGCCTGGAGAGAAGTGACTTACCCAGGGTCACATAGCTTGCATAAAGGGTGAAACCCAAGTGGGCAGATAGGGACGTTTCTCCGTCTGCCTCATGCACTTCTCTACCCAGGTAGTTTTCTATGGCATGCTGAAGAGGAGGGGTCTGGGAATGGGGCCTTTGGTGGCCCCTGCATGATATGTACCAAGTCCTGCTGTGGCCAAAACACCCATTCCAAACAGCCCTGTGTCCTCCCGGCTCAGGGGATCACCCACTAAATTGGTCATCAGAACCTATTCCCAAGCCCCGCCTCGACATGGCCTGACAGGTCTATTCCTTCCAGGTCCCTTGCACAGAGGCCAGGCCCAGGGAGGACCCACAGTAAGGGCTGAAGACGCAGAAGCTCTGCACAGGGGAAGGCCCTGAACTTGAAAGGGGAGACTTAGGCTATGACTCGGGATCTCCCTTCAGCAAGCTGGTCTCACTCTATGCCTCAGTTTCCTTACCTGTAAACTAGGGTCAGGCTGTTGTTTTGCTTCTAAGCTTTTTACTTAGAGAAGGTTTCCATGTTATTTTTATTCTTTGGGCCTGCAGTTTAAAACATGGCTACCACGCAAGTGCTAGTCGGTTCAGTTCCCCACAAGCAACAGTGCCAGTACAACTGCATGCAACCAGATGTTTTGGTTGACTAGGAAAGGCAGATTTGGGATGAATATGGAAATTTTTGAGGCCTTAGGCTAGGGCTTTGAATAGCTCAGACCTGCCAGCTCTGAGGAACTGGGAAATGGAGAACAGGCTCGGAAGCACATCAGCATGGGTGGTTCCCACCCACCAAGGCCCTGTTCCTGTGTTGTAGGGCATCTGGAGGCACTCCCCTACCCCCACCATGGGACAGTCTCAGCAGGGCTACTGGGGGGAAGCGCAAGGGCTAGTCAGTTCACCAGACCCAGCATCCAGATGACCAGTCATCAGAGTCTGAGAGGTACCAGAAAATAAAGCCATTTTATTATTTTTTTCTTATCTGCCATGTGGCCCGAGGAGTGGGGACTGAATGGAAGGTTGTGAATGGCTGGACCCACTGAAGGTGCTGGGGCCTCTACTTGGCCTGAATGGTCTCCTCCAGCCTATCCAGGCGCTTCTGTAGCTCCTGCACCGTGGCCTGGAGCTTCCTCATCTCTTCCTCCAGCCGGGATACGACATCCTGAGGGACCCAGTGCTGCATTAGGCCGAGCTCCTCCCTGGGTTCCCCTTACCCTGGCATCTGCTAAGCCGTTTCGCAAGAGCCCCAGGCCTTGGGCCCTTCTGTCTCTCAGCAGTTGCCGCCTGGAGACCTACAGGCCTGTAAACCTAAAACCTGTTTTCTGAGTCCTCGGGATTACCCACTCCCAGCCCCCAGAGGGTTTCACTGTTGTGAGTTTGAGCTGCCACAAACACCAGCCCTACCCCATCTGCCTATCCCAACTCCCCTGCTGCCCCACCCTCTCACCGAGCTGGGAGTGCCACTGGCCTCTGGTGCTGCCCTCCTACGCCCAGTGTCCAGGCCCCGGTTGACCCTCAGCTCCCGGCTCTTCGGGGGTACGTAGCCATCCTTGAGGGAAATGAGGAGGGGCCCGGCATCCCGACCCCCCAGCCACTCCTCAGCTGTCATGGCAGGGTCAGGCCCTGCAGTGGGGGGATACAGGTCCTCCTGGAACAGGTCCGACTGCGGGCAAGGCCAAGGCTGGTTAAGAGAGTACTTACTGCAACACCACCCTGCAATGCCCTGAGGTCAGTGCCCAGCCCGGAAGCCCAGGGAAGGGCATGGGAGGGTCACCTTTCTAGGCACTGTCATGGCAATGGGCTCACACCTCCGCTCATGCAGCTTGTAGAATCTGTGAAAACAGGAAGGTGAGCAGTGCCCACAGCATGGCTGGGCGGGGGCCAGCATGTAGTTAGCACTGCCCAGGGAGCATGCTCCAGTCAGGGTCAGGGGTCAGTCACCTGGCAATCTCACACTTGTTCACCTCCAGGCCACGTTTGGGCATGTAGCCCATGCCACGCTGGGACTCCTTGGAACTGAACATAGAGAGATAGTGCAGGAACGGGGCCTCAGAAGTGATCTCAAAGTACCGGATAGAGCTGTCACCCTGCAGGTGGCAAAGGGAGAAGCAACTCCAACAGATGCCTTGGCCCTGGTCCTCTCCGAGTCCTCCCCACCCACCTCCCTGCCCACCCCCGCCTGACTGGCCACCTTGCCACAGAGGTAGACAATGTTGGTGTCGGGATCAAAGAAGGGCAGCAGGACACCGCTGCTTGTGTCCAGCTCCTGCAGGGACAGTGGCTCCTCCAGGTGCTTCTGTAGAGACAGGTGGTAGGTAACAATGGGCTGGGTCACGTCAGGCCCTGGGATGGTGATCTTTACTAGACAGTGACCCGGTGACAGCCATCCCACACCAACCAATGGGAGCCCCATCTCATGCATGGGTAAACTGAGGCCCATGGCTATCTGGCCTGGCAAGTGGCAGAGCAGGGACTAAGCCTCCAGTCCTTGAGACAGAGTCTCACTCTGTTGCCGTGGGTAGAGTGCCATGGTATCAGCCTAGCTCACAGCAACCTCACACTTCTGGGATCTGGCATTCCTCCTGCTTCAGCCTCCTGAATAGCTGAGACTACAGGCACATGCCACCATGCCTGGCTAATTTTTTCTATTTTTAGTAGAGACAGGGTCTTGCTCTTGCTCAGGCTGGTCTTGAACCCCTGAACTCAAGAGATCCTCCCTCCTTAGCCTCCTAGAGTGCTAGGATTACAGGCATGAGACACCATACCCGGCCACGCCTCCAGTCTTGACTCCCAGCCCAGGGGCCGGCCCTCTGCTTCCCAGTTTGGCACTCACTGTGTCCCACAGCGCCACCTGCCGCTCGCTCATGCGGCTGAAGCCCGTGGTCAGGATCTTTCCATCTGACACGAACACAGCACGCACAGGCCGGGTCCCCTCGTGCAGACGGTCCTTCTCCTGCAAGGAAAGGGAGGTGGTAGGTCAGGCACCCACACACACCCTAAGGGGCCAGTCCCAGATGGGAGCAAGGGAAGGCAGCATCCAAGCGCCTGGTTGATGGCAGGTAAAAGGGATAAAGGTCCTAGGGTCAAGGGTCAGGGTTCATGGTGACTCACAGCTACAATAGTGCCTTTTCGGGGCTCAATTATGCGCACGCGCTTGTCGCGGCAGGAGGTGCAGATGAGGGCTCCGTCTCGGCTCCAGTCCACGCTGTAGATCGTGTCTGGGTGCACGTCTGGGCCCAGCGTCAGCACGGCCACCCCAGTGCCCACGTCCCACACCAGGATCACATTGTCACAACCTGTGCAATCCCCCCCAGTGCCAGAAACCATGATCCTCCTGCCCTCATCCATGTCAGGCCACCAGCCACCCCTTGTCCCCCACCCCCTGTGGCACCTGCACTTAGCAGCACGTTCTGGGCTGTGGGGTGCCAGGTCACGATGCCCACGCGCTTGGTGTGGCCCTCCAGGGTGATAACGGGCTCCCGTAGGGGCAGTGTCAGGCCCCCATCAGGGATCTCCCACACCTGCAGAGAAGGGGTGAGTGAGTGAGTCTTTGGGGCTCCAAATGTCAGATCCCATCCTGGAGCCCTCCTCCTAGCCCCTGGGTCCCCATCACCACTCACCATGACTGTGCAGTCCTCAGAGCCACTGGCAATGACATTGTCATTGTGTGGGCACCAGGCAATGTCCAGCACAGGGGCTGTGTGGCCACAGACTGTGGGTGCGTTCTTGTCCACACGTCCAGTCTAGAGGGCACAGGAAGGCCTTTAACAAAAGCACTTTTGCCCTCCAAACCCAATCCAGCCTCCCTACACCCACTTTGGAGAGGCCTAGAGAGGAAGGATCTGGGGTCCCTGGGAAGTGGACCAGGGCCTGGGGTGGGGAGGGTTTGTTCTTCTCTTTGCCCCAGTCCCAGAGTTGCCTGGGCAAACCCCAGGATGTGAGGTCCTGCCCCTACCTTACTGGGAGACCCTGGCCAAGTTCCCACCAGTCTCTATCTCAGTCTCTAGTCTGTGCCTGAGGGTCGGCACCCCCACCCCAGTGTCCCGGAGTGAGGCTTCCATGGGCATAACAGGCCAAGGCCTGGGACCCAGGACAGGTGTAGGGTTGGGGCTCTTCAGGGAAGAATGTGAATGGTGGTGCTGCAGGGATGGGTCCTGCCAAAAGGAGGGATCCGAGGAAGTCTGCCATAACTGGCCCCCAGGCAGGAACAGAAGTTTGGAAATGGCCTCTTCCGGGGACAGCTGCTTCAGCAGGGCTTCCTGTGTAGAGAGCCATGCAGGGCGCGGGCCCAGCTCTCACCCCGACAACCACTTCCTCTTCTTTTTGCTTCCATCGGCCCTTTTAAGGTAACAGCTTAGGGCCCATCTTCCCTTCCTGTCTTACCCCCTAAAGAGCACAGGAGTGCGCTGGGGTGGGGTGGGCAGACAGAGGTGGAGGGGCAGCTCGACCAGAGGGAAAGCTGGGCTGGGGAAGGGAGAAGGCCTCTTGCGTCATCTCTGCCTGTGAGCTGGGGGCTGGAGCTTACTGGGTCCCCAAGGGCTCAGCCTGGCTTCTCAGACAGGCCCCAACCTGGAGTTCCTCCCAGCCCAGAGAACACTGCTAGGCCTGTCCAGACCCCATCCCAGCCCTCTCTGTGCTTCTGAGGGGAGAGCCTCAGGCTGAGACCCAGGAGACCTGGCCCTGGGTCTGCAGGCCTTGCTATGTGACCCCTCTTGTGCTGTCTCCTATCTGAGCTTCAGTTTCCACACAGCCACAGCATGGAGGACCTGGAGGGAGCTTAAGGCTCATCCAGCACAGCTCAGTGTTACAGATGACAACATTGAGGCCCAGGAAGGCTTGGTGACAATCACCTAATCAGGACCTCCCGAGAGCCAGGGGTTAGGTGCAGGATCTGCTGTGTCCAGCCGCTCACCTTGCCGAGGGGCAGCACCAGGAAGGCTCCTCCCCCGCTGGCCTCACAGATCAGGGCCACGAACTTGGGGTTGACGGCACAGAAGCCACTGTCCCAGGTGGTCTGTGAGACACGCACGTCCTCATAGCACTGGTCGGCCTTGGCCGGCTGTCCAAACACGTGGCGAAACTTGCTAGAGCGGACCACCTGCCGGCTCATCCTGGGGGCACACAGGTTGAGAGCTTTTCTCCCTTCAGGTCAGCTCTGATCTTTCAGTGGTCCCCACCTCCCCCAGGACATCCCTCAGTCCGAGCATCATCCCTGGGGGCTCCTTGCCCCTTACTCTCTGTGGCTGACAGCCTGCCACCCTCCCTGCTCACCTTCCCCATCCCCCTCACTCCTGTCTAGCCGGCAAGCCCACCTTCTCCACCCACTGCAGGCCACTCTGAGCCGCCCTTTCAGTCCCGCAGCCTCAGCCTCTGCAACAGAGCTGGTGTGGAGTGGTGCCCAGCACATGTTTGTTGACTGGCCTTTGGATGCAGAGCCCTTCGTTTCTAATGGCTCAGATTCCAGGGCATCAGCCCAGATGGCAGAGGGTGGGTTCTCCCTTAGTTACTGTGTCCAGAGGCCACATCCCTCATACCCACATGGAGAGCTTCCTAAAGGCAGGGTCAGGGGCCGGCCCTGCCTCACCTCCTGGCACAGGGCTGGACACACAGGAAGAAGTGTGTGGAGGTCTGCCCAGAGGGAAAGAGGTGACAGGATGGCTTCCCCAGTAGGTCTCTGGGCACCAGAAACCAGTGATGGCTCAGGTCCCAGTACCTCCTCCTGCCTACACCTCTGCCTCTCGCCTCTGCTCTGAAAAAGCAGGTGCCCTTAAGTGCCATCTCCACCCCCATGGGAGCTACACACAGGAAGGCAGAGGCCAACCCTGGCTTCTCTGAGGTCCAGCTAGGATGATTCCCCCCACTATGGCTGGGTGGGGAGCAAGGAACTCCAGGGGCCAATCCTGTGCCCAACAGCGTCGCCTTCCTGCCCAGTGAAGGGGCCTGTGCCATGCTCAGAGGACACCCTGCCCAGAGCCTTCTGCCCACCTCCGCAGCTTCGCCCATTGCCCTGCCTTGGGCTCCAGCCCCCAGCCCACCCTGGGCCGGGGGAGGAAGCTGCTAGGTCTGCCGGCCCGAAAGCTGTGAGGAGGTGTGTGAAGGGCCCCAGTCTCGTGGGCAGCCTGGGTCTGGGGAGAGGGGAGCCCCAAACCAGAGGTGGGGGGACAGGAAGCCATCGCCCCACCCTGCCTCCTCCCCCACCGCAGGTACCAGGCCCGGAAACCACGGAAAGGGGAACTTGGTCTTTTCTTGTTTTGCTCTCAACCCCTTCCTGTCTCCAAGCCCAGGGCAGCTGCCCCGCTCACCCCACCCTGCGCCCCACTCCCACCCGCAGAGACTCCCATTCCGGAGTCTGTGTTGCCCCGGCTCCCCACCCCCATCTTGGCTGCGGGGGCCCCTCTCCCTCATCTCCTCGGAGCCCTCGGGTCCCTGACGGCCCTCGCCCTCCAGGCAGCGTCCCTCCAGGCGGCCGGACCCACCGGCTCCCTCGCCCCAGCCCTGCGCGGTGCTGACAGCCCGCCCGCCCCCGCAGCCCGCCGGCGCCCACGCTCGCGCCTGCCCCACAGGTGGCCGGTGGCCGCCAGGCCACCCCCGCCGCCCCGGGGGCCCCAGCCTTACCTGCTGCCGAGCTGAGAGTGGAGAGTGACCCCCCAAATGGAGGCGGAGGCGGAGGCGGAGGCGGAGGAGGAAGGAGCGGAGGAGCCGAGACGCGCCCGCTAAGGATGCTCTTGTCAAGACAATGAATGAGAAGCGGCCGAGCGCCGCCTCCTGCGGGGGGCAGCGCCCCTCGGGGCGGAGCTCTAGGGGCCGGGCCCGCCCCCGACGGTCGCCGCCACCCGCGCCGCACCCGCCTCCGGCTCGGCGACAACTGCGGGACCCAAGCACATGCTGCTGGCCGGTCGCTCCGAATCGAACCTGCACTTTTTAAAAATGTCAAAATGCAAAAATACCCGATTCTTCCTCCCTCATTCAGCCCACTCCAGCCTCCTCGCCATCCTTTCCCCGGCATTCGTGACAGCGCCCTGGCAGCCCGCCAGGCCTCCGAACGGACCCCCGCGCCGCCGGCAAGGCAGGACAGCGAGGGCGAGGGGACCCAGGTTCTTGTCCCAGCTTCTAGGTCTACTCATGGGTGGCTTCAGGGATCACTTATCCTCCAGGGTGTCCTATCTTCACCTGGAGCACCCTTGTCCACCTGCTTCACAGGGCTGTGGCACCGAACAGCTGGAATAACCTGGCATTACGGAGCACAGGGCTGGACACACCGGAAGAAGTGGGCGGGGGGGCCTGCCCAGAGGGAAAGAGGTGACAGGATGGCTTCCCTAGTAAGTTTCTGGGCACCAGAAACTGGTGATGGCTCAGGTCCCAGTGTCTCCGCCTCCCCACACCTCTGCCTCTCACCTCCGCTCTGAAAAAGCAGGTGCCCTTAAGTGCCATGTCCACCCCCATGAGAGCTACACACAGAAAGGGAGAGGCCAACCCTGGCTTCTCTGAGGTCCAGCTAGGATGGGTCCCTCCACAGAGGCCATGGGTCAGGCTCTCGGCCTGGTGGGAGGACAGAGGAGCCCGGGAGCCAGTAAGACCCAGGCGGAAGGAAGAGTCCGCTCCCATCCTGCATTCAGAGTGTATCGTGCACAGAGCACCAAGGCCGGCGAGAAAGGCCTACTCTAGAGCCTGGTTATTTTCCAAGTGTGACCCCTGGCTGTCACACCTGCTGACAAGATACTTAACCTTTCTCAGCCTCGGTTTCTCCCTCTGTAACAGAGCCACACCTACTGAATAGGGTTATGGGGGTGATTGCCTAAAATAACCCAAGAAAAGCCTTACGCACCTCATGGGAGAGTGGCAAGTGGCTTAATAAATGTTAGCTCTTATTATTGTTTACAGAGTATTTGGGCTGGGCCTGAAGGATGAGAAGGAGCCAACAGGCAAGGCTCGCAGGGGTCCTGTGGGCTGGGGGACAGCCTAAGAAAAGGCCCAGTGATGTGAAGAGGTTCAAGAAACAGCAAGGGACTGGTTCGAATCCTATTCCACCACCGATTGAATGTGTGCTCTCGGGCAAGAGGCCTAACCTCTCTGAACGTCAATTTCTTCATCAGTACATGAGGGATAAATTAAGATTTGTCCTGCCCACCACACAAAGTTGAGGCTCTCATGAGACAATGCATGTAGAAGTGACAGAACCTGATTGTCCCAGTAGGACTGGACTGGGCTGCGAGGGGGCAGGGACTGTGATGTGCAGTCTCCAACTGAAGTGATAAGAACAATAGCTGGTGTTTACTGAGTACCTACTATGTGGCAGGCACAGCTCGAAACACTATAAATATACAACACTCATTTAATCCTTAAACGCCCCTAGATGGCGGCTACTATCTCCATTTTACAGATGAGGAAACTGAGGCACACACTGCCCTCAACTGTGGAGAGCCCCGTTGCCACACAGAGGACAAGCACATTGGTGAAAACCATGCCCCCAAAGGCAGTGAGCCTGACAGGCCTGGAGAGGGAGGGGCTGTGGCAGACAACGCTGCTTCCAGACACTGGGCGGCCTGCGGCGCTGGGAGCGCGTGGACAAGGGGCTGCCTCAGGGGACAGACTTGAGGTCAGTGCGGGAGGTTCAGGGAGGCAGATGTCCACAGTGCACAAGACTGAGTTAGTTCAGTGGCAGGCAGTGAAGGCCCTACTGCACAGCTTTCCGTGTGTTTGAGAAGGGCTGACGCTTGCCTAGGAGGGCGCGAGAAGGGCATTTGTCTCTCTCATTGCGGCCGGCGCGCCCTCTTACCTCTTCACTCCTGGCAGTACCTGGACGTTCCTGTGAGGAACCAACCTTTCCTCAGGCAGTCCACGAGGTTCAGGAGGGGTCCGGGTGGGTCCATGGCCCAGGCTTCCCCAGCCAAAGCAACCTTTTTCCATTGCTCAGGGATGGACACTCCATTCAAGTCTACACAATCAGAAGCTACTAAGAGAAGGAAGCCCTCTTTCCACGGGGGGTTGGTAAGCTGATAGGATATAAGCCCAGCACCAGTAGTGACCATATGTCACCATGTAGTAAAAGCCAGCCAGAATGAGCTCGCACAGAAGACTGCAGAGGCAAGATGTGTAGACAGACATATCCTTGACATCATTTGAGTATCTGGATCAAGCTATGCCTGAACCCCTTAACTTTTCTGTTACATAAGGCAACAAGTTCCTTTTTCACATAACCTAATAAGTTTGAGTTGAATTTCTGGTGCTTGCAACTGAAAGCATTCTGACTGGTACACCTGCCCTGGAGGGAGACAGGACCAGAGGCCCTTCCAAGGAGCCAGATACATACAGTAGAAATGAACTGAAATGTTGGGATAAAGTCCAAACTTCTTAGCAAGGTTCACAAGGCCTTCTTTGGTCTGTCCTGCCCTAAACAGGCTGTAGAACACAATGGGGTCAGTCAGATCTGAGAACCCTAACTTCACCGTCTCCTTGTCACCCCTGGCCAAGTGAGGTTTCCTCATCTAGAAAATGTGCACAGCAGCTATCATTTTATAGAGTATGAGGACTGATTGAAATAATTTATAGTGAATGCTGGGCATCATGCCAGTAATCACGCATGAGTGTGCAGGCGTGCTTCCCACCCCCTGGGCTTTCCTCATGGAGAAAGCATGGCCCTAGAACCACACAAGTAACATGTTGTCCTTGGGAAGTCACTTCCACTTGGAGTTTTCTGCCCTCCAAATGGTGGTGTTCTCTATATACACATGAAAAGGATTCTTTTCTTTTTGTTTTCGAGACAGGGTCTCACTGTGTCGCTTATTTTCCATCCCTTTCCTCATCATCCATCCAACCACCCACCTGGTTGTATCTCAGGCAGTGTGCTTGGTGCAGGGAATCCAGAGGCTAATTAGGCACACCCCTAACACTAGAGAGGATCTGATCAAGAGATATGGGCTGGTGACCCATGCCAGGCCAACAGCACCCTGCGACTCAATTCGAGGCCTTTAATTGGAGCTTTCTGTTGGGTGACTCAGATTACAAGATAGAAGTCTAAGAGATGCTGGTGGTCATCTCACCTTCATATGAAGCAAAACTGCCTGAGAACAGACCCAACCTAGAGGACAGTAGGGCCAAGAAAGGAAGAGAGTTAGACAAAGTCACTGTCGAAGACCCTGGATCTAGCCAGACTTGAAGCTAGCCCTTTTCAGTTATGTGAAGCAGCAAGTTCTGTTTTTTTCTTACCAACCTTGACTTAGGTTTCCTTTTTTTTTTTTTTTAACTTTTGGTGGAAATAAGGTTTTATTTTATCTGTTTTTAAAATTTGAGCCATTTACACTTTTAAACTTTTCCTGTAGAAATTTTCAAATACATGAAACTAAAAGATTTAAATAATAAACTCTTGTATTCATCTTTCAGCTTTGACAATTGTCAACATATATTGGCAATATTTGATTCAAATATGGCAACATTGGCAAATATTGATTCATTTCTTCTTTCACATTATTTTCTTAGAATGTATTAAAATAAATCCCAAACATCATAACATTTCAACTTAAATACTTTGGCATTTACTTATAACAGATAGGGACTTTTAAAAATCTCCTAGATTGGGCAGGTGTGGTGGTTTACTCCTGTAATCCCAGAACTTTGGGAGGCCGAGGTGGGAGGATCACTTGAGCCCAGGAGTTCAAGACCAGCCTGAGCAACATAGCGAGATTCCATCTCCAAAACAAATAGAAAAATTAGTGGGGCGTGGTGGTACGCTTCTGTAGTCCCCTACTTGGTAGGCTGAGGCAGGATGACCGCTTGAGCCAAGGAGTTTGAGGTTGCAGTGAGCTATGATGATGCATGCTACTGTACTCTAACCCAGGCAATGGCTAAAAAAACAAAACAAAACAAAACTCTCTTAGATCTTTCAATAAAAATTGTATTAAATGTATAGATTAATTTGGGAAGGATATTGACACTTCTATCCATGAATGTTGTATATTTCTCCATATATGTTTGTCTTCTTTTATGTCTTAATATAATTTTATAATTTTCTCTAAAAGGTCTTATAGATTATTCGTTTTTCCCCCTATAGGAATATTATAGTTCTGTGACTATTTTCAATAGATTCTTTTTATTCTATTCTAGTTGTAACTTTATTTTATTTCCTTCTACAATCAACTTTACTGACATACAATAAAATACATGTCAATTTTCATACAGGTCGGGGGCAGTGTCTCACACCTATAATTCTAGCACTTTGGGAGGCCGAGGTGGAAGGATTGCTTGAGGTCAGCAGTTCCAGACCAGCCTGAGCAAAAGCGAAAGCCGTCTCTACAAAAAATTAAAAAATTAGCTGGGCATGGTAGCAGGCACCTGTAGTCCCAGCTACTCAGGAGGCTGAGGCAGGAAGATCACTTAAACCCAGGAGTTTGAGGTTACAGTGAGCTATGATGACACCACTGCACTCCAGCTTGGGTGACAAAGTGATACCCTGTCTCATAAAAAAAATTTTTTTTGTGCAATAAACACACTCATTTTAAGTACTTGGCTCCATTAGTTTTGATAAATGTATATGCCCATGTAATTACCACCATAATCAAAATATAAAATATTTCTATCACCCTTAAAAGTTTCTTCATGTCCTTCCACAATCAATCCCCAAACTCAGACCCAGGCAACCACTGATCTGTTTGCTGTCACTATAGATTAGTTTTGCCTGCTCTAGAATGTTCCATACATATGAAATCATACAGTATGGGTCTGGTTTTCTTCACTCAGTATAATGTTTTGAGATTCATGCATGTTTTTTATTTTATGTTTTTTATTTTAC